GCCAATAATGTGCAAAAAATTTGGGAGCTCATCACCAACCTAAAATTGTTCACCCTTTAGTAGATTCCTCAGTTGGAGAACATATGTGCCAACATCTTGTCCTAGCTAGCCAGCTTAATTAACTCCAACCTTATGGGCATGATGTATGTAGAAATTCTTCCTCAATGCAGCATAGCTAAAGAGCCAAAAGTACACATTGCCCATAAGTTCTTTGCTAATATGGAAGAATCTCATCCTTGACTTCCTTCAAGACAACAAGCTTCCAGATAATCAAGCTAAAGCCAAAAAGCATGCTTACTGAGCAACCCGATATTGCACCATCTAAGGAGAGTTGTATAGGAGGTTCCACTCCCTACCCTACCTCAATTGCCTTAGCCCAGATGAAGCAAACTATGTGCTCAAAAAGATCCATGAAGGCATCTTCAGTAATCACTTAGGGGCAAGGCCCTTGCCTAGCTACAAAGCCTTTTGGAAAGGGTATATTTTTGCCAACAATGAAGCAAGATATGACTTAGTTCATATAAAGGTGTGACCAATATTAAACATACCTTATTAACAATTGTCTCTTTGACGCCAATCACTAGTTCATGCCCTTTTCTTAGTGGGGCATGGACATCCTCGGTTGTATCCCACCAGCAAACAGGTAGAAGTTCTTGATCATTGCCATTGACTATTCACTACATGGGTAGATGTCAAACCCTTGGCATACATCACAAAAAAAATGCTTAAGGGTTCCTATGGAGGCCAATCATTTGTCAATTCAATACCTCTTGAGTTCTCATCACTAATAACAACACCCATTTCTTGGATGACAAGTTTAAAGACTTTTGCAAGGAGCTTAATATAGAACAACAATTCATGGTTGTGTATTATCCCAAGAGCAATGGCCAAACCGAAATCACTAATTGAATTCTACTACATGGGCTAATGACCATATTAAACCAAACAAAGGGTTACTGGGTGGAAGAGCTTTCTAATTTTCTTTAGACATCACACCACACCCATATTGTCTATAGGGGTGACCCCCTTCAATCTTTCCTTTGGTACTGAGGCAATTATCCTAGTTGAGATTGGCTTGTATATATCTTGGACCGAACACTTCAAAAAAGTTACAAATGATGAAGGGCTCGATACCAATCTTGACTTGTTAGAAGAGACCAAAGACTAAGGACAGATTGGAATGACTACCTACTAGTAGAGGGTAGCCAAGTACCATGATGCTTAGGTCCAAAGAAGACAATTCAAGCTAGGAGATCTCTTGTTGAGAAGGACCATAACCCCAAGGTAGGCTCTCGCAAGTTGGCACCAAAGTAGGAGGGCTTGTATCGGGTTGTTAAAATGTTGAGGCTGAACTCCTATTATCTTGAATATCTTCAAGGAAAACTTTCATCTCATACTTAGAATTCCTTGACTTGAGAATGTACTATCAATAAGAGATTCCAAGCACTAATATTTTTGAGATGTATTTATAATAGGGTAAATTTCCTAAACTACCCTTATGGTTTAGCTAATTGACTAACTGTACCCTTACTATTTGAAAATTGACTAATGCTACCCCTACTGTTTTTGACAATTGACTAATACTTCCCTTACTTTTAGTGCCAGTTAACAAAAAGACGAAAAAGATTATTTTACCCTTTATTTTTCTTCAAATTTTCAAAATAAAACAAGAAAAAGGGCTATCGGAGGCAGTCTAATCAGAGAGAGAGAGAGAGAGAGAAGAGGAAAGAGCTTGGAACCGAACAGGACAACAAAGACTTCTTCTGGGTTTTTCGTGATGATTGGCGTCTTCACCACGGCTCTACTCGTCTCATCTTCTACCACCGTTGATGCCAACGGGGAGTACCAATTGGGTTGGCTGTCGACGAGATCAACCTGCCGAGGCTCCACGGAGGAGTGCATGGCCGGCAGCAATGAGATCGAAATGGATTTCGAGATCAACTGCCGCAATCTAGCAACCAGCCAGTACATCAGCTATGGAGCCCTGCAGCGCAACATTGTACCCTACTCTCGATGTGATGCATCTTACTACAATTGCAAACCCGGAGCTCAAGCCAATCCCTACAACCGAGGTTGCAGCACCATCATTTGGTGCCAGAGCTAGTTCTATATTTTCCTTTCACTGAACAAGAAACTGTAGGCCTTAATCACCATCACAAGCTCAAAACCAGCTCAGAAAATGAGCTAAATCATCGTTCAAGCCATCAAGAAGGGATCTAGCAACTCCAATCCCTTTATTGATGTTGCAGCTCTCCTTGAATGAATAAGAAAGCTTCTTCGAAGAAAAAAACAGACAAAAGTTTAGGGTTGTTTTCTACTCACAGATCGGTTCTCAAGATCTACAAAAGAGGCGTCACGAAGAAATGCATGCCCTTTTCTCCTCTCTCCTATCTTCTGGATATCTCTCCTGTTTACTACTTTTCGACTACCTTTGGGTGGCGTTTCTTTTATGTAAGAAAGAAAAGGAAGAGGGAGAGGATGGACACCTGGATGGGAGATCACGAAAAGACAGTTTTAATTTTAATTAGGGTAAATTTCTCCCAACAAGAAAAAGAAGGGGAGAGAGAAAGAGGGGGAGAGAGGTGAGGGTAAAATTGGGTTTTTAAAAAGTATATATATCAAGTACGAATGAGTTTTGGCAGAATATAAATGGAATTTAATAGTAAGGGTAGAGTTAGTCAATTATTATAAACAGTAGGGGTAGGGTTAGTCAATTTTCAAACATATAGTTAGTCAATTAACTAAACCATAAAACTAGTTTAAGAAATTTACCCTTTATTATACATAATGCAACAAAGTTCCTTTTCTCCATTCAGTTGTGTTTGATGTGGATTTATGTGATGCCAAGCACTAACACCACTCAACACTAATGCATGCCTAGCACTAATAGCATTCATGGCTAATCAAGGCCAAGTGTCAACGTTGACAAAGCCATGTTGAGCACTAACAACACCAAGCATCATGCTTGACACAACAAGCTCAAAGGGCTAGTCGGATCAACCAAACACTAATGGCCCACCTCCAAGTTATGCAACTGAACCTCGAGTACTTGCAAATTGGGAAAACCGAACTAAGCCCAAACACTTACTAGGGGAAAACTAGGGCCAAGTCCATAAGACCTTGTCTCAAAACCTAGCTCATCATGATACAAACTGAGCTAACCCTTAACGCTTGAGAAAGCTAGGGGAAAGCTCGAATTGGCAAGTCTTTAGTTACTTTCCTCGCCTACTTGGTAGCCTAGACCTTGATCACAATAGCTTCCTTAACCGATTTCTTAGGTACCACCAACTACTTCATCAAGTCACTTAACCAAGATTGAGGCTTCTTGGTCTCCTCTTTATTGGTTCAATGTACTTGGACATCCTCGTGATTTGATTTACTAAGAATGTGGCCGCGCAAGTGCTTTGCAAAGACAACTGATGTTAGAACCATAACATTCATTTGATGAACAAAAAGTAAACTCGAAGACAAAGACTTAACTGTCACAATCGACTTGATGGTCATGCACTTAACCACTGTATAAAGATACATCCTCATGACCCACGTGCTTAGGGGTTTATTTCCCTGAGCCTTACCCAAACTAAATAGTCCTTTGTGAATACCTCTATCCCAAGGCCAAAGACATTGGCAACCTCTCCATGTTTTTCTTGCCATGAGGTCCCTGTGAGGTATGCTCTATAAGGAGCATATCCAAACTCACTTAAATATGGTGTATGGATGGCAAGTTCTTAATTTAGATTTTCTTTAAAATATATGCATAAAAAAATAATATGTATAATAAAAAATCATTAATTAATACACGTTAAAAGGTGGACTAATGGTAATTAAGCAATATCTAAAAATAATAAATCATGTGTTCAAATCTTGTCAAATACATTTTAAAATTTTAATTTAAAATGGTTAAAGACCTGTGAACGGTTTCATGAAACCGAGACTGATTCACTGATTTTCCGGTTAAACCAGCTGGTCAGCCGTTCATTGGTTTTTTAGCAAAAGCAGTTATTGGGGTAAGACTGATGGTCCCGAGTTATAGTCTGACAGGTCAGTCCAATTCGGTTCTCTAAACATTGTTCCTACACGTGTGTCAATCATTGGAAATTTATGCCTAAGCCAAAACCAAAAAGCAGGTCCAACTAGACAACTTGGTTGGTTCGATGATGATTAGGTACTCCCTCAACCAATACAAGGAAGAGTTTATCCTCCTTATCAACCGGGACATGTGTCACACAGATATTACGTGTTCACTCATTATGCTTACCTAACGTATCTACTACATTCGGACTCCTAGGAAAAGGACATCTAGCTGAACCAAAGACTACTACATAAGTCCTAATTAGAGCTCAAACGAACCAAGAAGAAATGATGTGGCACACCCCTATACAACTTGTATGCTATAATTAATGCATGTTGCGAGTTCTGAAGAAGATAGGGACACGTGGCAAACACTACTCAAGACCCATTAGCTGCCAAGGTTGACACTAATGTCCTCAAGCTCCTCATTCCACTCTTAGTAGAATGTATGCCACATGTTCTTAATGGCTCGAACGGTGTCTTACCTAGGACGGTAACACATGTCCCATGAACAAGGAGCCCAAGGTGAGACACTCTTTGCACCCTTGATACCAAACTTGCTCTCTCAACTTTACCTTATTAACTTAAGCATCAAATTACTCCTCCTTGGGGCCTTTGATTCTTTGCGTGTGTAGGCTGTCAATTTGGCACAGCATGTATATTTCATTGGAACAACTCATCTATTGATCGTCCACATCCGCATGAACAGCATCACAACCAATACTTGAGACTAAGTATATTGTATATGTAAGAAAAGTGATGATCAACAATAAGGCATTGTCCATCATAGTTGATGAAACCATCCTCTTGGAATATTTATTTGTACTCTAGACAAGCCCTTGAGTAGACAATTTCTTAAACTTAATAGCGTTTGATATGTGTATCTATTGTTTTGTTCTTCATTAAATGTGTTCTATCAACAAAAACAGGTTCTAATTCTCTACCAACATGATCTGACATAGGGCATGTCCCGTCTTTCGCAATCTAGCAATTTGGAGCAGCATATGGATCGTTTGTTGGCTTTTTAAAGTTTTCTCCGTGTGTTTTTTGCTAAAGGTCAAGAATCTCAAGCCCGTGAGTAGTTGAGTTCTAAGGAAAACTCAGCATTTAAGACCTAGGCATCTTCTTTGGGCCTTAGCACAGGGAGTGAATTAGAGACTGATAGTGATTTCTCTAACAGCTCCGTTGACAGTCTGGGTTGCTTCACTAGTAGCAGAAGGTCTAAGGCAGTTGCGGATCTCTATGGAGATGTAGTGGTCAAACCCTCTGTTAGGGGGTCACGTAGCACACGTGGAAGGGGCAAAAGAGGAAGGAGGGGAAGAGGTTGCGTGTTTTTTATTGTTTTTTTCTTATTTTTGGCCTTTTTATCCTAACTCATGGGATGGTTTTTTGTTTTGTGGTGCCTTTGCCTTGAGGATTTTGGTCCCATTGGATTGGTTTTGGCCTTTTTAGGCTTGGGCGTTTTGTTGGTTACCCTTCTTCTATGCAAGGGTAGTTTAAAATTCAGCCTCTTTTCTTTTCTTTCTATACTTCTTGTATGCTGTTTTTTTCCTAATTTCTAATAATAAATTATACCTTACCTATTTAAAAAAGAAATCAGACACTGCAGATCTCACCATGACACTAGGACCCATCATTAAAGTGGGACCTGCCATGTTTGAGATGCTTGGTATCAAATGAAGTTGTAGGGTGTTGGAAGGCGTGTTTTGCTCGAAGGAGATCACCAGACTCTTTTAAGAATACAGAACAAACTATTAATATATAAGGGGGAGAATGACTGATCAGTTCAAGTCAGATTTTTTAGTCCCACTGTACAGGAGATGAATCCTGAATTGATGCCAAATTCACGGGCAGGATGTGATTTATAGGGGGAGGGGCTACTAATAGACTATAGGGGCTGTCATTCAGAATTCTGCATTGGGTTGCAGTGTACTTAATCCTATATAAGGCCCCTAAGAGGATCTGCACCTATAGGCCTAACTTTTGACAGGGGATTAAGGGGGCCATAATTCAGCTTGGACACGACTGTAACTATGTAATTTTACTGTATTATCATCAGGTCTTATGACAAACTTTTATAATTAAAGCTCTGACAAATAACCAAACCCTAAATTTATTTGTTTCTTTTTCAGTTACCTTTTTGATTCACAACAAAGTTTTTAAAATCGAATCGGACAATAAACTAGTTAGGGGTCCGGTTCTTGGGCCAAATGGTTCGATTGTTCGAGTCAAACATATGGCCCATCCTGACAAAAAAAATAAAAAATGGCCAAACCATTGATCAAACGGTTTGATCACCTGAGTCAGTGGTTTACTGACTAAATCAATATTTTTTGGCGAAATAACAATTTTGGGGTAAAACGAAACCAGTCAGATGGTTTTTCTGATTCGACCATCCGGTCCATTCCGGTTTTAAAAATCATGATTCGCATAAATGTATAGAATTTCTGGTTGGTTTAATGTAAGGTAACCACCAACCGTCAATCCAATCCAATCCTTTTGGAAGACTTGGATTTCAAATGGGTTTTCAAATTCAGTCATAATACAATAAAGGTCTCCCCTCACTGCCGGTCGGACAGGAGCATTAACCAGTGGACTAGTAGGTAGGTGGTGTAAGATAGGAATGACTGCCAATTCATAATTCCAATCTTAGATTAATGAGTAGTTACACACTTACACAATGTGAGAGAGCCCTCTTGTGAATCCAAATCCTTTTCAACATTTGATGGACAACACACCCTATAATTCTTGTCGGCTGCTCGTTTGCTCTGAATTCGTGGCCACCAGGTCCGGCACCATTTTAGCTATTGAAAGGTGGTAAGAAACATCAGGCGTTTGCGTCAATGGTGTGTAATAAATAAATGGTGTTAGATAAGGAACCTTATCAGGCCATTGTGCGCATTCCACTAGCATTGCAAGCTCAGTTAGATAATGAAAGATACCAATGACCTAAAAGTTAGGTATTATCAATTGGATGAATTGGATATAAACTATTAAACTGCAACACCCAAAAGAACCAAAACATTTAACTGTCGGATGGTCGGAATTTCAGCCGGCCATCCTTTTCTAGATGGTTGATCAACCAAATGTTTCTTGTAGGGCTGTCAATGGGTCGGTTCTACCTCATCAACCAAACTGAACCAAACCGATTATATCAGTTTTGATTATCTGATTTTGTCTGATTAATAATTGGATCACTTCTTTTTTCTATTTTGTTTATTTCAAATAGACCCAAATCGATTATCAATAATATATAAAATTTTTCTAATTTTGTATGATTTTTATTATATTATATATCTGAAAGGATAAATTTGGTAGACAATATATAAGATAATTCTAGTTAAAATCATTTAATTTATTAGCATATAAATAATTTACTATCTATCATTTATATTAAAATTATATCATCAACAATTAAAATTTTAAATTGCTATATATATATACATACATACATACATATATTTATTAAAATAATCGGGTCTAATCAGATTGACCCAATTATCTTAATTAGTAATCGGGATGGTTCTGAGTCTATGCAACCTCTGCATTTAGTGTCTAAATTAAGATATTGATCAATGCAAATTGCTAGAACCGACTGTTTATCTTGAAACACAACAATTGATATATTTGGGATACTGGTAAAATTTATTACCAATAAACCGGAATCAAATGACAACCAATCTGGTGGTATTTTTGATCAATTGGTGGGCAGCAAAATCCACATATATATGTAACATTGATATATTCACTCATGATTGATCACATTGTCGGATTTACTTTGCACATTTGCATTCACACCAGATCCAGTTCATTCTCGAAATCCATTGCCTTAAATCTACTTTATGGGGCTAGAGAGGATGAGGAGTAGCCCATCCCCGAAGTCCATTGTCTCTCACCCCACCCCTAAAAAAATTACTATGATGGGTGATAAGGCCGCCCTTCTTTTTTGAAAAAAGTTGGGGCCCGTTTGGGGCAAGGTGAAGTGATAATGCTGTGGTGGTTGAGCACCCATGTTCCTCGGTCACATTTTGGGCATTCGCGAAGGATTTTCCAGATTTTTACTAAACAAAACTTCTGGCATTTCCAGAAGTCTTGTTACAACCAGCCGATACCTTACCTACTGATCCAGGCTTTCAGGTTTTCTCAGTTTACTTGATCACCTTCGTTAGAGTGTTTCACCTTCTAGACAGTACTATCTTCTATAATTTTATTCTCTTTTTTCTGTGACTGAATCTGTTTCTCACAAATGAGCGCCTCACAGGCACATCCATCATACATTGAAAACATCTCACAAATGAACGCCTCACTTATGAAAGATGTTCCCAATAGACGGCAGGAGGTACTGTAAGACAATTGTGGGGCGGAGATGTGATCTCCTATTACAATCAACTAGGACCTTATCAACTGAGCTAGTTGGTACCGACAGGCTATTGTTGGGATGTGACATAGAAAGATGTAGTAGGACTGTAATTTGTTATAGAGTAGACTTTATTCACAAGAAACCAATTTATAGATTTCTTAAACGTGTAATGTAATAAATACTACATGATATTCACACGTGGATGCCATTTAACCAGATAATTGCTTCACGCGTCAACAAGAGGCTAAAAAACCGGCTCGAGTGAGTTTTGGTCAATACCCCCTTTAATTTGACCCATTATCTCCTGAAAAACTTTGTCTACTATCATCATGGTTTTTAAAACCGATCCAGCGATCGAATCGGTCAGGGTCCGGTTATTGGATCGAACGATCGGTCTATTTTGACAAAAAAATAAAAAAATAGTCAAAATTATTCGAATGATTAATCGATTGATGCAACAGTTTGTTAACCAAAATCATCAGTTTTAAAGAAAAAAACGATTTAAAAAAAAAAACTGAATTGATCAATAATCGGTTCTCGATTTTTCCGATCTAGTCTGATTTTAAAAACCATGACTACCACAATGCCCTTAAATGTTCTTTTAACTATTGAAATGGCCTTTGTATATTCCGGTAGCTAGCGACTCCTCATGGAAGTTAAGGCTTAGTTTATTTTCTGTGTGAATTTTATTTGCAGTAGTACTGGTGTAAATGCATGAGAGTAAAAATTGGTTGAATATAGGCGTTGCTTGGATAGATTTTTATTTTTGTATTTTTAAAATAACAAAGTATAAAGTATATAAAATATTTTTGTTTCAGTATTATAGCTTTGAAAATTGTTGAGTAAAGTATTTTAAAATAGAATTATCATTTTCTGTTTGGCAAAAGTACTTCCATTTGTGCTTTCAGTAATGGTTTCCGGTGGTTTTGCAGTCTAAGACAGGAAATGGTGGTCTGACTCTAATAGTGGAAGCTTTATCGAAGCATGACTACCTCTTCGCATAAAAAAAAATACTATTAGCCAAAAGCATCAATTATAAAAAATCGATTTTATGCTTTTAGTGTTTTTCATACCTTTAAAAGTATGAAAGCAAAAAATATAAAATATATATATATATATATAATACAAATACTATATTGTATTTTTTGAACTTCTATACTTTTAAAAGTATAGAACAAAATAGGGCCATAAATTCTGGTTTACTTCTGCTTCAGGTTTGACTTTACCTAATTTATTTATGGGAAATAAAATAGGAAGTAAAGTGAAGTAGATTCCACCTAAAGATGTAATTCCCACTTTATATGAGAGATAAATAAAAATGGGCGGAAGAAGGTGGTGTAAATTTTACATTGATATCAGTTTTTGAGATACAAAATTTGCAGTCCCAGCAAGTGCAAATAAGACAAATTAAGTATGTATTAAGTAAGAATTAATCCAAATCATGGTATCTGATTCGGATTTTCACTGCAAATCAATAGAATCTTAGGCCCAAAGAACGGTTTGCTTTTCCTGCTGCAATTCAATTGGCATTCTAATCCTCCCTTTTAAAGTAGTCAGTCTTTTAAATATTCTTAAAACAACCGATTAATAATGGGATGAGAATATAGGATATATTCATTTTCTGTTGGAAGATACATAAGAGGAAGGCGCCAGGATCTATCCAAGGTTGGCATAAAATTAGTAGATTCTTTCTTGCTACCTGAGATGACAGAACCCTTAGTCTTCCCATGTGGATATACCAGAGAAAAAAAATGTCTTTCTGATGGCTTTCAAAAAAATAGTTTTATTTTATGAAAAGCAATAATACTAGCGTTTATTTGGCATTGTTGCCGTTGCTCTAGAAAATGGCGTCACATTAGTGTAATAATAGAAAAAAAATAGTGCTCCAAGAAATGGGTATTTGTTTAGAATCATTTTTTCATAAATTATAGTACTCTAAGCCATGCCTTAGAAATCGGGAAGGCATGGCTTAGAGCAACGCCGAAGTTGGCATTTTCTAGAACTATAGTTCGTTGCTGCCAATAGGGATGTGAGGTGGCAGTGATGTGGCACTGGATAATGGATACTAATGCTGAAAACGTTTCCTGGAGCATTGGCATCAAACAGAAAAAGTTATTGTTATTCCAGGAAACGTCCTACTTGATAACAACAAT